CCCTGAGTTCAAGCCCCAGGGCTGGCACCAAAAACGAAAACAAATGAACAAAACCCCACTGAGATCAACTTTAAGGGAAGACATACTGACCCCTGGTGACCTGGGCACACACCCAGCGGGGTCCCCTGGAATGAATGCAATGAATGCGGGAGGTGATGGCTGGAGGGGTGCAGGGCCCCGGGCCTGGGGTCCCTGCTCAGCCTACCTCTGGTGGCCGACAGGTGATTGCGCTGACCTTCGGGAAGTTCGACGTGGAGCCGGACACCTACTGTCGCTACGACTCGGTCAGCGTGTTCAATGGAGCCGTGAGCGACGACTCCAAGAGGCTGGGAAAGTTCTGCGGGGACACGGCCCCTGGGTGAGGGGCGGGGTCTGGCTGGCGTGGGCGGGGCCTGCGTCAAAGGGCGTGGCTCTGCGTCTGCCTCTGGGCGGGACCTGAGCTAGAAAAGGCGCTTGAGTTAGAGGGCGGGCCTCGGACTAACCGCGTGGCCTAAATTAAAGGGCGTGGCCTTAGCGGTATGGGTGGGGTTGGGGTGTGGCCTAAAACGGAGGGGCGGGGCTCTTCAGATTGGGCGGGATCTGAGCACTAGGACTCCACAGCAGTAGGCCTGACACCTAGTCTGGGGTCGGTGAAGTAAGAACCTTGTGAGGTCAGGCCTGTAGCCTGTAATCCTAGCTGCTCAGGAAGTTTAGACCTGAGGATCATGGTTTGAAGCCCGGAGTGGTGGGGTACGGGGGAGGGAGCAGAAAATCTGACTCAAATAACTAGCAAAAAGCCAGAAACGTAGGTGTGGTTTAAGTAGTAGAGTGCCAGCCTTGGGCAAAAATATAAAAAAAGCTAAGTGAAAACGCCAGGCCCTGAGTTCAAGCCCAGTCTGGACACAAAAAGAATCACATGGGGATCTATGATATTATGAAGCTAGTGCAAGCCACCAAAGGCTGGAAAGGTAAAGAGGGGCCTTGATACCTACCCCAACCACTGCCACCCTCAGTCCCATCTCCTCGGAAGGGAATGAACTCCTGGTCCAGTTCGTTTCGGATCTCAGTGTCACGGCCGATGGCTTTTCTGCCTCCTACAAGATGCTTCCAGGGGGCACTGCTGAAAAAGAGCCAGCCCCTAGCTCAAGAGAGGATGTCCCCAAAGTCAAGCTGCCCACCAAGCCAAAGGTCCAACCCACCAAGAAGCCAGTGGCCTCCCCTGACACACAGGAGACTCCAGTGCGCCCAGGTAAGGCTGGGAAGGAAGAAGAAAGATTGTTTCAAGAAATTCTTCCATGAGCTGGTAACTGTAATTCCACTTTAGGAGGCTGAGATCTAAGGATCACAGTTCAAAGCCAGCCCAGGCAGGAATGTCTGTGAGATTCTTATCTCCAATAAATCACCAAAAAGTTGGAAGTGGAGCTGTAGATCAAGCTCGGACAATGCTCAGGCTCTGAGTTCAAACCCCAGGACTGGTACACACACACACACACACACACACACACACACATACATACATCTCATTGATTCAGCACTCACTGGTGCCTTCAATCCTGCCAGCCTCTAGATAGAGCTGGGTGCAGAGCTGTCTACTAGCATGCATAAGGCCCTAGCTTCTATCCCTAACAGCACAAAAGGGGGAAAATGGTTCTTCCTCCTTGATGGGTTGTTATGGTCCATGAACAGCTCAGCTCCCCTCTTATCTAGATGCACCAACAGCCCCTTGCCCAGTTCCATGCCGCCGGACAGGCACCTTGCAGAGCAACTTCTGTGCCAGTAATCTGGGTAAGCAGCCCTTTTTTGCACTTTTAACCCTCCCCCTAACTCAAGTCCAGCCCTGGCCTCCTGTCTCTTCCCCTCTCACTCCATCCTCCCACAGTGGTGACCGGAACAGTGAAGTCTATAGTGCGGGGTCCAGGTGAAGGCCTTACCGTCACTGTCAATCTCATGGGTGCTTACAAAACTGGAGGACTGGATCTTCCCTCTCCACCCACGGACACGCCCTTGAAGTTTTATGTACCCTGCCGGCAGTGCCACCCCATGAAGAAAGGTAATAAAGACAGAATATGGGGCTACAAGGTGCTAAGTCACACCAAAATGAGAAGAGGTATAGAATCGGCCAGGCCCTGGTGACTCAAGCCTATAATCCTAGCTACTCAGGAGGCTGAGATCTGAGGATCGAGGTTCGAAGCCAGCCCGGGCAGGAAAGTCTGTGACACTCTTATCTCCAGTAAACTACTTAGAAGCTGGAAATGGTGCTGTGACTCAAGTGATAGAGCACTAGCCTTGAGCACAAAGAGGCTCAGGGGCAGCACCTAGGACCCCTGGGTTTAAGCTCCAGGCCAAGCAAAAAAAAAAAAAGTTGAAGTGAAGATGTGGCTCAAGTGATAGAGTGCCAGCCTAAAAGGAACAGTGCCTAAGTTCAAGCTCTAGTACTAGCAAAAGGCACAATGATGTGAGCCCTCAATCTTATCCTACCTCTGTTGTCTCCCCAGGATCCAGTTATCTGCTGATGGGTCAGATGGATGAAAGCAGAGGTCCCATCCTTCCTCCAGAAAGTTTTGTGGTACTCTACCGGGCCAACCAGGACCAGATCCTCAAAAACCTAAGCAAGAGGAAGTGCCCCTCCCAAGCTTGAGATCCAGGCCAGCTCCAGCCCCAGGCCAGCTCCAGCCCCAGGCCATAGACCGCCTGTCTTACCCAAATAAATATATCTTAACTGAGGAAGAGGACAGATCTCCATTTCTATGGTTTAGTGGCCCATCCTCGAAGTTTTATGAGTTCATGAGTTTCTTCCACAGATGTTTACTATTCAGAATAATTTTTTGAAACTGTTATGTCAGGTCTTTTGTGTGTGGGTGTGGGTGTGTGCGTGCACATGCACATCTGTTAGGACTGGGGCTTTAACTCAAGGCTTCCCACTTTAGCTTGGCTTTCCTCACTCAAAATGCTTTACCATTTGAGCCACACCTCTGCTTTCTGTATGTCATAGCACCCCCCCCTTTTGCTCAAAATTCCTACCATAGTTTTTATAATAAAATCCAGAGTCTTATGCATGGGTACTTTTTGGTGATCTTTTCTAATCTCTGCCTCCCAAGTAGCTGGGATTACAGATGTGTGCCACCACATCCAGCCTTATAGTGGGATTAAGACTGTATTTTGTGTCTTCTCACTCACTTCCTCCTCATGGCTCACTCTTCTTGCCTGTTTTCCTTCCTTTCAAGGCTAGCACTTTACAACTTGAGCCACAGCTCCACTTCTGGCTTTTTGCTAGTTCGCTAGAGACAAAGGTATCATGGCCTTTCCTGCCCTAGCTGGCTTTGAACTGTGATTCTCAGAGCTCATCCTCCTGAGTAGCTAGGACTGCAAGTGGGTACCACTAGCACCTGGCTTAATATTTAATTTTAAAAGTACTGGGACTTGAATTCAGGGCCTTTCACTTTTGCTCAGCTTTTGTATTCACAGATGGGGCTCTACCAGTTAAGCAACACGTCCACTTTGGGAATCAAGACTCACCAAACCCTGCCATGGGATCTTCACCCGTGTTACAGATGAGGGAAACACTTCTACACAGTGAAGACAATCTTACCCTAGGTCACACAATTAACTTAGCAAAAGTCAAACGGTTCTGACAGAAAAACCTTCCATGAGCACAGAATTAATTGGAGATATGAGTCTTATGGACTTTTCTGTTCACATTGGCTTTGAACAGAGTCTCAGATAGCAGCCTTCTGACTCACTAGGATTATAGGGGTGAGTGCCTGGCTCCATCCTCTGTTTTTTTTCTGGGATCTTCCATCTTCATTCTTCTGAGTGCTGGGATTACAGACTCTCATCCATTCAAAATACCAGGCACTGTTTTAAGGGCTGAAAATACTAGAGAAAACAAAGTTCCTGGTCTTCTGGACAGGAACGAATATACTTCTGGAGGAGAGAGGGGGACATTTTTTAAGACTTCTTTTTTTTTCTTGGTCCGGTCATGGGGCCTGAACTCTGGGCCTGGGCGCTGTCCCTCAGCTCTTCAGCTCAAGGCTAGCACTTTACCACTTGAGCCACAGTGCCACTCCGGGCTTTTTTCTTTTTGCGTATGTGGTGCTGAGGAATCGAACCCAGGGCCTCATGCATGCAAGGCAAGCGCTCTACCACTGAGCCACCTTCCCAGCCCCAAAGGGGATCATTTTTTTTTGGTAGTATATAGTTGAACTCAGGGCCTCAAGCTTGGTAGGCTGGCACTCTGCCACTTGAGTCATACCTCCAGTCCTGCTTTTTTGGGGGGCTGGTTATATTGGAAATGAAGTCTATGAAACATTTCTGTCCATGCTGGCTTTAAACCATGATTCTCTAGATCCAAGCGTCTTTAGCTAAGATTACAGGTGTGAGCCACTAGTACTTGGCACAAGGGCCTGGGCATGGTCCCTGAGCATTTTTGCTCAAGGCTAGTTCTCTATCATTTTTAGCCACAGCTCTACTTTCAGTTTTCTGGTGGTTAAGTGGAGATAAGGATCTCAGGGCTGGGCACTGGTGGTTCCTGCCTAATAATCCTAACTACTCCGGAAGCTGAGATCTCAAGATCACCCTTACCAACCAGCCAGTCGGGCAGGAAAGTCTCTTTGAGACTCTTATCTCCAAATAACCGGAAGTGGCATTGCGGCTCAAAGCGGTAGAGTGCTAGCCTTGAGCAATAAGCGCTCAGGGACAGAGCCTAGGCCCTGAGTACAAGCCTCAGGACTAGCAAAAACACAAATAGAAACAACAACAACAAAACCCTAAAGCAAAAGGGCTGGGATATAGTTGAAGTGGTAGAGGTGCTGTAGGGCTTGTGTTCAGACCCAAGTACCAAACGAACAACAACAAAAAGTGGACAAGGGTTTTTTGGTTTGTCTTTTGTATTATCTTTACTCAGGGAAGGTGTTCCCGTCAGATCCATTTGACTTTAGCCTCATCTGTAACACGGTGAAGACCAGGTGGCAGGGTTTGACGAGTCTTGATTCGCCTTCTTTCCCGGGCCCTGGCGCGGGCCCTGAGAAGATGGAGGAATTCGGCGATCTCCCGAGACCCACAGAACAAAACAAAGCCAAGCCCGCCGCTGGGGCCCGCCTCCCTGAGCTACTTCCGGACTTCAGTTGGAGCTTTAGGCCGACCCTTTAAAATGCCTACGTCACTGCGACTCAGCCAATCGCCATCGTCAGAAAGTAGATGGGTTTTTAAGGGCACCAATCGAGGAAAAGTTGGGCGGAAACGAGACCATCTTGACCAATAAGAGAAAACGTACGGCGGAGAGACTCTCAGGAAGATGGCATCACTAGTCCGGCTACAAGCTGATTGGCAGGTGTTTTGACCACAAGGTGATTATCGTGGCTCGAGGGCCCCGTTCGGAGTCGGGGCACGAGCCGAGCCCAGGGAGGGACCGGAGACACAGCCGCAGGTGTCCAGATAGCAGGAAGAGGATGGCCGCGGCGTGCGGAGTCTGGCGGGAAAGTGGGGCGGGAGGTCTGACCCTCCCGGAAGGGGCGGAGCCGTGAGGGGCGGGGCCTAAAGAGCCTAGGGCCCGGGCTGGCAGGGAAGTCCCGGATTGGGAGCACCGAGGTGGGCGTGACCGTCGGGTAGAGACTCGGGGCTGTGTCTGCAGGACGGGGGGCCGAGCTGGAAAGGCGAAAGGTTTAGGTGGGGGCGTTCCTGGGTCTTTACGGGGTTCCGAGGCAGCAGTGGCACTAGCCCCAACCCGCCCCCCGCCCCCCGTCTCATCCCCCTTAGACTCCAGGCCCTGCCCCCTGAGCTCTGCCCTCGGATGTCCGACCGCCCAGAGCCTGCATGCGCCGAGGGGCGCCCCAGGACCAGGAGCTGGTGGGTCCGGGGGCCCCTGGGCGGGGGTCCCGGGGCGCCCCTCCTCCCTCGGGACCTGTGGTCCCGGTGCTCGTCTTTCCACCGGATCTAGTATTCAGAGCGGACCAAAGGAGCGGACCCCGACAGCTGCTGACCCTCTACAACCCCACGGGAACTGCGCTCCGCTTCCGAGGTACAGGGGTTTGCGCGTCGTCCTAGGGATCTTGGGGTGGGGGGGGCTGGCGGTAGGATACTGGAGGGGGGAGCTGTGTGGGCTTGGGGGAGTCAAGGAATAGGGGTGGATGTCCAGCGTTGGAACTGGGACAGCCCTGGGGTAGAAGGCAGAGGGGATTCTGGTGCCCTACCGGGAGTAAGACTTGCTTGGGGTCTTTTTTGGGGTGTATCTTCTTTCCAGTTCTGTGCACAGCACCTGCCAAATATACGGTGTTTGACGCAGAAGGGTTCGTAAAGCCTCAGTCCTGCATTGACATGTGAGTGAGTTGGGAGAGCGGAGAGGCCAGTAGAAGCCTGGGGTTAGAGCACCCTGTTGTCTCAGGTCTGAGATCTTCCCCTCTTCAAGCGGTTGCCCTACCCTCTGTCTGCACCCTAAGTGAAAAGCTCCTGGGACAGGGACAGACCTAGATTTCCCTGGTTAACTGCCTCCCACCACCTCTTTATCTTGGGGTCAGTGTGATTCGCCATGTGGCCCCCATTCCCAGCCACTATGATGTCCTGGATCGCTTCCGCATTGAGCTGTCTGAGGAAGGGGTTGAAGGCCGAGTGGTGGGACGGAAGGACATCACCTCCGTACTGAGGGCCCCAGCGTACCCTCTTGAGCTTCAGGGACAGCCTGAGGCAGCACCCCACCCAGCACCATCTGCCTGGACAGCACCACTTCCGGCCAGACAGTTACAAGACAGTGAGTTGAGGGGGCTGGGAAGGTGGCTCAGTGGTAGAGCACTTGCCTTGCATGCCTGAGGCCCTGGGTTCGATTCCTCAGTACCACATAAGCAAAAAGAAAAAAGACAAAAGTGGTGCTGTGGCTCAAGTGGCAGAGCGCTAACCTTGAGCTGAAGAGCTGAGGGACAGTGCCCAGGCCCAGAGTTCAGGCCCCATGACCGGACCCCCCCCCAAAAAAAAGTGAGTTGAGTGATTGGGGATTCATGAGAGAGAGAAGGGTGTGTGTGGGGGGAGATGGGTGTTATGTGCATGTGTTGTGTACCATTATTGGGGCTTGAGTGCAGGGCTTCCCTCTGTCCCTTAGTTTTACCACTCAAGGTTAGTGGTCTAACACTTGAACCACGACTTCACCTCTTGCTTTTTGGTAATTGAAAATGAGTGTCTCATTGTCATTTCTTGTCTGGGCTGGCTTTGAACCTGTATTCTCAGATCTCATCCTCCTGAGTAGCTAGAATTAACAGGTATGAGCCATTGATGCCCAGTCCTTGAAGTCTTTAGAGAGGGAGGAACTAGCAATATATCTGCAGATAAGCTAAATCTGATTTAAAGAAAAAGTGTTTTTGCCTTTTGGTGGTGACATTCCTAGTTGAGAGTTTATATCAAGTAGGGGGAGGAACTGCAATTTCTTTGGTGTCTAGTTTCTATGTAGAGGAAAATATTCCTCCATAGCTCTAACTGCAATACTTCTTATCAGGTATCAGATAACTGCAGTAAAATAAGAAACCTGTACGAAGTAGTTAACTTGTAGAGTTGGGTGCTGGGTTTGGGAGATAGAGAAAGGGCTCTGCTTGTCAGGGGAATACACAGAAGACAGAGGGCTCCAGGGAAGAGAGGACACTTACAGTGTACCATGGAAGGCAATAAAAGTAGATACATAAGGCACTGGTGGCTCATGCCTGTCATTCTTAGCTGCTCAGGAGGCTGAGATCTGAGGATCATGGTTCAAAGCCAGCCTGGGCCAGTGAGTCTGTGAGACTCTGATCTTCAGTTAAGCACCAAAAAGCCAGAAGTATAGGTGTGGCTCAAGGTAGAGTGAAAGGGCTAAAAGAGAATACCTTGGCTCTGAGTTCAAGCTCCAGTACAAAAGCTGATGCATCTTCAGCCTTGCCCCTGGGGAATCCTGGGTGGAGGCTGAAAGGGGCAGCATTGCTGATGGACTTGTTTCCCAGACTCCCACCAGCAACTGGCCACCAGCTCCTTCCTGCTCTTCTTGCTGACGGGCATCGTCTCTGTGGCCTTCCTGCTGCTTCCACTCCAGGATGAACTGGGCAGCCAGCTGCCACAAGTCCTCCATGTCTCCTTGGGACAGAAATTAGTGGCAGCCTATGTGTTAGGTGAGCCCAAGGGATTCTGACCTACTTCCAAAGACAGGGCACCAGGGGGCAGGGAAGGGCTGCTGACAGGAATCACTGTCCCTCTCCCCACCTCTAGGCCTCCTCACCATGGTGTTCCTCCGGACCTGAACTCCCTGCTCAGCCCCAGCCCATCTCTCCTCCCCAGGCAGGGACCTGAGGTGGCCACTGTGACGCTCGCTCATACCTTGCCTCGACTTTCTTCTACTTCCTGACCACCCTCAGCTACTCAGCTTCCCTGCACCCCCCCCCCAAGAAAAACAACCAGGGATTTGTACTCATTTTCCAAGTTGAATAAAATACATTTTTAAAATCAAAATAAGAAATAGAGAGTATTTGCCCCTAGCTTCCCATTTCCGTGTGTGTGTGTGTGTGTGTGTGTGTGTGTGATCTAAGGCTTGAACTTGGTCTGTGCCCGAGTGCTATTCCTGAGCTTTTTGCTTGAGGCTAGCAGTCTACCGCTTTAGGGTTTTGTTTTGTTTTTTCCTTTGGTTGGTCGTGGGGCTTGAACTCTGGGCCTGGGCGCTGTCCCTCAGCTCTTCAGCTCAAGGCAAGTGTTCTACCACTTGAGCCATAGTGCCACTTCCAGTTTTCTGGTGGTTTATTGGAGGTAAGCGTCTCTTGGCCTTTCTTGCTCAGGTTGGCTGTGAACCATGATCCTCAGATCTCAGCCTCCTGAGTGGGATTACAGGCGTGAACCACTGGTGCCCAGCTTAGGCTTTTTTGATTTGGTGCTGGGCGCAGGTGGCTCATGCCTGTAATCCTAGCTACTCAGGATGCTGAGATCTGAGGATCACAGTTCTAAACCAACCTGGATTGTAAAGTCCTTTATCTCCAATCAACCACCAGAAAACAGGAAGTGGAGCTGTGGCTCAAAGTGCTAGAGCACTAGTGTTGTGCGCAGGGACAGTGCCCAAACCCTGAGTTCAAGCCCCACAACCCAAAAAAAGGTGTTTTCTCTATCTACTCAGGCTGACTTCCAGTCTGAATCCTCATCTCAGCCTCTGAGTAGCTAGGCATACAGGGGTGAGCACTGTCACCAGGCTCCCTACTTGTCTGGGTACAGATAACCTCCTCCATTCTCCAGGATTTGAGGGACCTGGGGCAGAGAGAAGAGGTCCAGTGAAGACTTAATACCAGGTGGTGGGAATGTGGCTCAGTGGTAGTGCTTGCTTACATGCATAGAGCCCTGAGTTTGATTCCTCAGTACCATATAAACAGAAAAAGCTGGAAGCACTATGGCTCAAGTGGTAGAGTGCTAGCCTTGAGCAAAAGAAGTTCAGGGACAGGGGCTGGGGGTTTTGCCCAGCGGAAGGGTGCCTGCCCAGTGTGGGCAAGGCCTTGGGTTCGGTCCTCAGCCCTGGGGAAAAAAAAAAGTTCAGGGACAGTGCCAAGGCCCTGAGTTCAAGACCCACGACTGGGGAAAAAAAGACAATACCATGTGACAATGAACAAGTCATTTAGGTTCTCAGAGCTCTGCTTTCAGTCTCTAAAATGAGATTGAACCCAGGACCTTGCACATGCTAAGTACATATTTTATACCTGCATCCAGGTTGATTCCAAATCTCCTGTGAGGGCTGAGCTTGGTAGCTCACACCTGTCATCCTAGCTTCTTGGGAGGCAGAGATCGGGAGAATCATGGTTCCAGGGCAGATAAGGCAAAAAGTTAGACTCCATCTCAACAGAAAAATTTGGGTATGGTGGAGCACCTTATCATCCCAGCTACATCAGGAAATATAAACAGGACAGGGATCCTATGTATTGGGGACACCCTATGTATTGAAAACAACCAAAAAAGGCACTGGTGGTTCTATGCCTGTAATCCTAGCTCCTCAGAGGCTGAGATCTGAGGCTCAAGGTTCAAAGCCAGCCTGGGCAGGAAAGTCTGTGAGATACATATCTTAAACTAACTACCAAACAGCTAGAAATGGTGCTGCTGAAGAGCACTTGAGTACAAAAGCTCAGGCACAGTGCCCAGACACTGAGTTCAAGCCCCAGGACTGGCAAAAACAAAGAAAAATAGAAGAAAAAAAGAAAGAAAAAAAAGGCATTGGAGGCTTGACAGCCTGCCCAGCAAGGGTGAAGCTCTGTGTTCAGACCCCAGTAACAGTGGCCAACAGCATGACAGATGGGGCTACGGTGTAGCTCCTGGAAGGATGGGTATGTACTTGGCATGCAGGAGACCCCAGTTTCAATCCCCTGGTTTCAATATAAAAAAATAGCAGTTTTATTCTCTTATACTTCTAAGGGTCAGAACTCCATAATTAGTCTTTTGGAGCTAAACTCAAGCTGTTCAAAGGCTGAGTTTCTCTGAGAGGACCAAAGACAGAGTTGATTTCTTTGTATTTTTCAGCTTTTCTAAGCCATTTATGCTCTTGTCTTTTAATTAAAAAAAAAAAATTAAATGCAGCCGGGCGCTGGTGGCTCACACCTGTAATCCTAGCTACTCAGGAGGCTGAGATCTGAGGATCGCGGTTCAAAGCCAGCCCGGGCAGGAGAGACCGTGAGACTCCTATCTCCAATAAACCACCAGAAAACCGGAAGTGGCGCTGTAGCTCAAGTGGTAGAGCGCTCGCCTTGAGCTGAAGAGCTGAGGGACAGCGCCCAGGCCTAGAGTTCAAGCCCCACGACTGACAAAAAAAAAAAAAAAAGCTGGAAGAGGTGCTGTGGCTCAAGTGGCAGAGTGCTAGCAGTGAACAAAATAAGCTCAGGGACAGCACCCAGGCCCAGAGTTCAAGCCCCAGGACTGGCAAAAACAAAGAAAAATAGAAGAAAAAAAGAAAGAAAAAAAAGGCATTGGAGGCTTGACAGCCTGCCCAGCAAGGGTGAAGCTCTGTGTTCAGACCCCAGTAACAGTGGCCAACAGCATGACAGATGGGGCTACGGTGTAGCTCCTGGAAGGATGGGTATGTACTTGGCATGCAGGAGACCCCAGTTTCAATCCCCTGGTTTCAATATAAAAAAATAGCAGTTTTATTCTCTTATACTTCTAAGGGTCAGAACTCCATAATTAGTCTTTTGGAGCTAAACTCAAGCTGTTCAAAGGCTGAGTTTCTCTGAGAGGACCAAAGACAGAATTGATTTCTTTGTATTTTTCAGCTTTTCTAAGCCATTTATGCTCTTGTCTTTTAATTAAAAAAAAAAATTAAATGCAGCCGGGCGCTGGTGGCTCACACCTGTAATCCTAGCTACTCAGGAAGTTGAGATCTGAGGACTGCAGTTAGAAACCAATCTGAACAGGAAACTCTGTGAGACTCTAATCCCCAAAAAACTTAAAAAAAAAAAACAAAACGCTGGTGTACTACCACTTAAGTCACAACTCCACTTCTAGCTTTCTGGTAGTTAATTTAAGGTAAGAGTCTCAAGGACATTTCTGCCCTAGCTGCCCTCAAACCAGGATCTCAGCCTGAGTAACTAGGATTACAGGCATGAGCCACTGGTGCCCAGCTCTAGCTTATTTTTTGTTTTTTGGGTCTGGTACTGGGGCTTGAACTCAGGGCCTGGACGCTGTCTCTGAGCTCTGTTTGCTCAAGGCTTGTGCTCTACCACTTGAGCCACAGCTCTATGTCTGACTTTTTTGGTAGTTTATTGGAGATGAGAGTCTCATCACAGACTTTCCTGCCCAAGCTGGCTTTGAACTGCGATTCTCAAATCTCAACCTTCTGAACAGCTAGGATGACAGGTGTGAGCCACAGGCACCCTGCTAAGCTTGTTATTTTTGAGGCAGGGTCTCACATAGTGCAGGTTGGTTTCAAACTCCAGAACCTCCTTCCACTGGCTCTTAAGTGCTGGGATTACAGGGGCGAACTACTATGCCTGGCTGTGTTCCTGCTTTTTCAGTCGATACCAGACTGTGCAAATTATGTCTGTAATCTCAGGTCCCAAAGCCAAGCCACCTTCCTCCAGTCCCCCACCCCCACCCCCACCCCCATTACCTTTGTGGCCATTGGAAGAACAACCCTTCATTATTTGCCAAGGCAGTTTCCTTAGGCTTTCCCTGGGTCTCCCAGTGGATCCAGTATCCTTTCCGTGTTCTCTGGTCCCTGCTGTCCACCCCTTTCCTTAGGACTGCAGTGGAGGGATGGGAGGTGGGGAGGAGGAAGCGACCAGAGCTCAGGAGCCACAGCTGTCAATCACCAGGTGGTTTATTAGGTCCACCCCCACCCCGGGAGTCAGCCAGGTCCTCAGGCCTGGCAAAACTCTCAGTGGGCTCTAGGTACGGGACCTCTGCCCCGGGAGGGGTGGGGGGCTGTGGCCGATTCGCTCACAGCACGACCACCACCTTTACTGAAGAACCGCGGGGAGACCCCCATGGCGAAATCCACCGCCGGGAACAGAGCCGCGCAGGGCCTGCACAGCCGCCGGGGCCCAGGCCGGGCGCCCCGGGGACACCCCCCCGGGAGGCCAGGGCCTCAGAAGTTGTTGTCGATGTTCCAGACGTCGCCGCCCAGCGCGTTGGCCGCCCCCTGCAGCGTCCAGGTGAGCAGGGCCAGCTGGCGCCGGAAGCGGCTCTCCTGGAAGCCGGGGCCGGCCGCCCACCCCGAGGCTCCGGCCGCGGCTTCGGCGCCGTCGGGGCGCAGCAGCCGCAGGTGCTCGAGCAGGGCGCCCAGCGTGTGCTCGCCACGGCCCAGGAAGATGTGGCGGAACGGGAAATCGGCCGGAGACACGTACTGGGACAGGAAGTAGAACTCCACCTGCGCCGAGAAAGGGAGTCAGGCCGGGACCAGGGGTGATCCCGAGTCCGAGGCTCCAAGCACCACTCGGCCACACCTGCGAACCCACCGGGTTCTACAATTCTAGTGACGGCCTCCGGACCGCCCCCTCAGACTGTCCAATCAGAAGTCACTGTCCTTTACGTCATCAATAGCCGGGCAGGATTCCTCCTCCAGCTGTTCTGGGTTCTACTTCCTTCCGGCGGGCCTCCGGATCTCCCTCCCCAGTTCTTCCCGACCCACTTACTTCCCCGCTAAAAGCCTCAGAAAGCAATCTGTGGTCCTGCTGTGCCTCTTCTTCAAATCACACTCCTGCTAATGCGCCCCACGTGGTCAAGGGGAACCGGGCGCCGGTGGCTCACGCCTGTCATCCTAGCTACTTAGAAGGCTGAGATGAGGATTGCTGTTTGAAGCCAGCCTCAGCAGAAAAGTCAGCGAAACTTCATTTCCAATAATAAGCCAAAAGTGGCGCTGTGGTTCAAGTGGTAGAGCGCCATTCTTGAGCGGAAAAAAGCCAAGCGAGAGTGTGAGGCCTCAAGTTCTAGCCCCCCCCCCCTATTCAGGCACCAAAATAAGACACGTGCACACACACACACACACACACACACACACGAACAAGAAAGTTCAAGGAGCTATAGATCTGGGGGGTCTGGCTTTAAGGATAGCACTAAGTGTGCGAATTGAAGGATGGTGGATCCTGGACAGCCAAGTATTCAAAACTAATCAGAAGAGACTGTCAGGGTATAAACTCTTAACTCTTATCCCACCACACCTCCAGGCAGCCTTTCTAATATCTATCTTGCTAACAAAAGAAAGAAGCTCTCTATGCCGGCCGTTATTATTATTATTTTTTGGGGGGGGGTCTGGTTGTGGGGCCTGAACTCTGGGCCTGGGCGCTGTCCCTCAGCTCTTCAGCTCAAGGCTAGCACTCTACCACTTGAGCCACAGCGCCACTTCCGGCTTTTTTCTTATGTGGTGCTGAGGAATTGAACCCAGGGCCTTGAGCATGCAAGGCAAGTGCTCTACCACTGAGCCACCTTCCCAGCCCACCGTTATTATTACAATTATTATTATCTAGATAGTTTCACTATATAGCTTAAGCTATTCTCACCCTCCTGAATTCTGGGACTCTAGTCTGTTCCATCATTATAGGCGATTACCATCTACATTACATGTGTGTGTGTGTGTGTGTGTGTGTGTGCTAGTACTAGGACTCAAACTCAGGACCTCAGAGCTGCCCCTTAGCGTTTTTTGCTTAAGGCTGGTGCTCTACCACTTCAGCCATGTCTGCAGCTCCAATTTTTTGCTGTTTAGTTGGAGATAAAAGTTTGATTTGTCTGCTGCGGCTGATTTTGAACCATGATCCTCAGATCTCAGCTTCCTGAGTAGCTAGGATTATAGGTGTGAGCCACCAGCTCTTGGCCTATTTCTTTACTCTTTTGCATTTCTCCTCCCCCAAGACTTCTGTAGTCATCTTGTGAAGTTCTTCGGATATGTCCTCTCTTGTGTGCAAGAGGCTACACCTGGTTGTCTTGCTGGGACACGAAGGGGGTTGGGGGGGGTAGTCTGTGCTTCCTGTACAGGGGGACATGCTTTGCTTCTCCAGAGGGTGGGGAGCTACGTGGTAGCTGCGCCGGCACGGCTACTGTGGCTCTTCCTGTCCATTTCATAACTGTGTGGCCTTCAGCCTGGCTGGTCGGTGCAAATGCGTGAGTGACAGCTGAGGATGCAGAGCACTGCACGGATTGCACCAGAGCAAAGGAAGGAGCAACCACCCCCTAGGCGGAAGTGGGCGTGCCAGGGGCGTGGCCTCACCCGCATGATGCGCACGTTGTACATGCGCGTAAGTCTCTCGTCACTCTCCTCCGAGCTGTAGATCTCCTTCCGCAGCTTTTCCGCCGCGCGCATGTAGTCCCCGCGCGCCGAGTACACCCACTGCAGGGTCAGCCCGCGGGCCTGGGGGCGGAGCGGAGGCTGGGATCGCGGGACCCCAGGCTGGGAGGGGTGGGGTCGGGGGACCGGATCGGGGACCGGGCTGAGGCAGCTGGCAGGCGCGAGAGGTTTAGGGTAGGTAGAAGGCTGGGGAGGGGACCCTGGACGGATCAGGCTGTGTGGGAGGGAGATGAGGGGGGGGGCTTAGGTAGTGTCCTCCCCCCAGGAGGCAGAGGTAAAAGGCAGGCTTGGATCTCGGGGATGGGGAGGGTGGGAGAGGTGTAGGACCCCTGGGGTGAGAGATGCCCTCTTAACCCCCAGAGGCCGGGATGGGCATCTTGGACCTTAAGATCTGCGGAGAACTCGTTGAGGGTGCCCATGTGCCGGAGCACCACGTCCCCGTAGCGGCCGAAGTCGAGGGGCAGCAGGTGGTCGTGGCTCAGGCGGATGAGGAGCAGCCCCACGAGCTGGGCCACTGCCTGGGCCACAGCCGGCAGGCGGCCTCGAAGCATTTTGTGTAGGTTCTCGTACGTGTCCTCTTTCGTGTGCAGAAAAGGGTACGCCTGGTCGTCCTGCGGGGACGGGGAGGGGGCTGGGGGCAGGAGCGTGGTGCAGGCAGGCCTGGGACGGGCACCCTGGGGCAGGGCCGGGAAGGCTCACCTCCGTGAAGGAGAACTCCACAGCAGGGACCCCCGCAAAGGCCGTGAAGGAGTAGGCGCTGCTGTCCATGGACAGAGGCTTGATCCTGAGGGCGGTACCGTGAAGGGCTGTGTCAATTCAGATGCCCCGAACCCCCTCTACAGACCCCCCCATCTTAGCTCCACTTACACCTCAGCATCCCAGCTGGTGTTGGCAGGTGTCACCTGCTCAAACAGGGTCTGCCCGCTGTGGTTGGGAGAATCCACCTGCGGGAGGGGTGGGGCACCCATCAGGCTCCGCCCATCACACACTGGGGGCGGGGTGTCTGTCAGACTCCACCCATCACCTCCAGGGGCGGGGCGCCTGTCAGACTCCACCCACCATAACCTGGGGGCGGGGCACATTTCAGGGTCCGCCCATCACACGGGGAGGGGGAGGGGTATCTGTCTCCACCCCATTACCTCCAGGGGAAGGGTCCCTGTCAGGCTTTGCCCATCACCTGGGGCATGGTATAGGTTAGGCTCCACCCATCATTTCCCAGGGGTGGGGCTCCTTCCAGGCTCCGCCCCCATCGCCTTACTCCTCCCTATCCCAGACTGGATCTTGCCTGCTTCAGGAGATTCTCTATGAGGTTGATGAGAAGCGGGCTGGTCTTGGCATGGAACTTGTCATCTCCTGAAGAGAAGTGGAGCGAAGAGCTGGGATGACAGACTCATCCTTCACCCCTGGAACCCCAGTGGTGAGGTTAGGTCTCAGGGGCCCCTGGTCCAGCTCACCCAGCACTGCGTTGTCCAGGCTCACATAGGCTACGGCTTTGAGGTGTAGTATGCTGAGGTAGCCCTGCGGTTGGGGGGGAAATGTGTGAAGATAGAAGCCCCCCACCTCTCCCCACTGTCTGGCTACCTGTCCAGACCCCAAATCACCTCCAGCCACTCGGTGGAGCCCACACTGCCAAAGTCGCCTCCATCCCAGCTGATAAAGAGAAGACTCCTGCGGGGCCGGAAACCTGGGGGCAGAAGGAGGGAGAGGATGGCTCTGCTGGGGGCCACCTAAGACACCCTCCTTTGTTGTCTTTTGTCTTGGATCCCCAGAGGTCACTGCTTCTCTGAGCAGAACACCACCTCAGCTCATCTCACCATGGGTGTGTGAGGGTGTGTAAGGGGAAACTCTACAAAATCTCGTGCTTAATTGTCACTCAGACATATGACTACTTGTCATTTTCTTTTGTGCTGGTCTTTGAACTCAGGGCCTGGATGCTTTCCGTGAGCTCTTTTTTGCTCAAGGCCTGGCACTCTACCATTTGAGCCACAGTTCTACTTCTGGCTTTTTAGGGTGTTAATTGGAGATGAGTGTCTCATAGACTTTCCTGACCTGGTTGGCTTTTTTAAATTTTATTTTATTTTTCTGGTTGTGGGGCTTGAACTCTGGGCCTGAGTTCTGTCTCTGAGCTCTTTTGCTCAAGGCTAGCACTCTATCACCTTGAGCCACAGTGCCACTTTTTTTTTTTTGGGGGGGGGTCCGGTTGTGGGGCCTGAACTCTGGGCCTGAGCGCTGTCCCTCAGCTCTTCAGCTCAAGGCTAGTGCTCTACCATTTGAACCACAGCACCACTTCCGGCTTTTTTCTTTTTGCTTATATGGTGCTGAGGAATCGAACCCAGGGCCTCAGGCATGCAAAGCAAGCGCTCTACCACTGAGCCAACTTCCCAGCCCCACAGTGCCACTTCTTATGGCTGGCTTTGAACTGTGATTCTTAGAACTCAGCCACTGGCTGAGCCACTGGCAACTTTCTTCCTTTCTATCTTTTTTCTTCTTTCTTTCGTGGTATTGGGGATTGAACTTGTATTCAAGCATTCTACCACTTGAGTTACACTCCTAGTCCTCTTGCTTTTAGATTGCTTTTTAAATAAGATCTCTTGTTTTTGCCCTGACTAGGCTCAGATGGTAATCCTCCTATCTTCACTTTCCTAGGAGCTGGGATTATAGTCCTGAACTACCACACCCATCCATCATTTTCATTATCAGATGAGAAAATGTTTTTAGTGCTGAAGTGACAGGAGCGGGAGGAGCTGGGTGTGGAGCCCTGGTCCTGATGGCCTCCTTCCAAGTCTGTGCTCTCAGCTGCCTCTCTGCCTCAGCCCTGGTTCCAGCCCCAGCCCCAGCTCTGCCAGGCCCAGTTGCAAGACCTAGCCCTGATCTTACCATTGCTCACCATGGAGGAAAATGTGCGCACCAACTCCAGCAGTATGGCCGTCCCCACCGCAGACTTGGCTGCTCCTGGACCCCATGCGTCCCTCTGGGCCCCGATGACAACATAGTGATCTGGGAAGGGAAGGTGGGGGACCCACCTCAGGAGGGTGGGTGCTCTCTAGGACCCCCACTAGCCTCCATCAGAGTCTCTGATCTACAATTCTTGCTGTCCCAAGAGGTGGTACTTAAAGAGGGTGCCCCTTGACCCATTCTGTGTGACATGACCCTTCATGAGGTGTGGGGGGCACTGGGACTCTACCGCTATCTGTCCAATCTGACCTCACCTTTTTTTTTTCCTTTGGGGAGGACTAGGGTTTGAACTCAGGGCCTTATGCTTGCTAAGCAGGTGCTCTACCACTTGAGCCACTCTGCAAGCCCTCCTGCCCTCTTTCCATGGATTGTTTTCAAGATAGGATCTTGCTTTAGTCCTTGGGCCAGCCTGGAGTGCAGTCCTCCTGTGTGTGTTCTCTGCTTTGTTGGGATGACATGAAGATGCCACTGTGTCCCATCCGTGATTTTTTTTCCCCCTGCAGCTTGGAATGACAGATGTATGCTACCATGCTCTGCTATTGGTTGAGCTGGAGTCATAAACTTTTCTGCCTGGGCTGGCCTGGAACCCAGATCTTCTGATCTCCATCTCCTAAATTGTTGGGATTAAAGGCTTAAGCCACCCTTCCCAGCCTGACCTGACTCTAATAACTTGAATTTCTGTGATCACATCCTGTAATTTATCCTGCTCACCTCCAGTGCTGTGCGGGGAATGCACTACCTGGACATACTGTCCCTGCTATTCCTAGACACACCGGACCTTGCAGGCTTCTCGCTGCTACTTCCCTGAGTCCCAGCACAGCCTCCACCTGCCAGCCTCCCTCCCCTGCCCTTTCTCCAGGGTCTTTTGCACAGCCACACCATGCCAGGCTTCTTAGGCCACACCTGGCTCTGCCACGCCTTCAATGCAGCCAAAGATGTTTCTAATGGGAGTAGAAACTCTGTGGTTGTTGACTTCTAGATACAGGTCTGGCCCAGGGCCCAGATGATAAGGGAAGCTTAGGAGATCTCCCTGCCATTCCTGGGGGGCCACAGGGCCTTTGAGCTTCCTGGAAAAGGGTGGAGAAGAAAAGGTTGGTAGTGGCAGAGCCCCAGACTACAGAAGAGTCCAATGTTTCTTCCTCACCTTTCTGTTTCTCCCGCCCCCAGCTTGGTTCAAGATCTCTGCCTCAGTACCCTTTGGAAGGTGGGGCAGCAAATCACCTTGCACAGTACTGTAAGTGGGGCATTGTGGGGCTTGACCTAGGGGCCTGGGTGCTGCCCTGAGCTTTTTCACTCAAGGCTGGCGCTCTACCACTTTAAGCCACAGCACTACTTCCAGTTGTCTGGTAGTTTATTGGAGATAAGAGTCTTAAAGACTTTCCAGTTAACCTGGACTGGCTTCAAACCATGATCCTCATATCTCAGCTTCCTGAGTTGCTAGGATTACAGACATGAGCCACCAGTACCTGGCTTTTTTTGTTTATTTATTTCCTGGCGGTAGTGGGGCCTGAACTCTGGGCCTGGGTGCTGTCCCTCAGCTCTTCAGCTCAAGGTGAGCGCTCTACCACTTGAGCCACAGTGCCACTTCCAGTTTTCTGGTGGTTAATTGGAGATAAGAGTCTCATGGACTTTCCTGCCCGGGCTGGCTTTAAACCTCATCCTCAGATCTCAGCCTCCTGCACAGCTAGGATTACAGGTGTGAGCCACTAGTACCCAGCTTTTTTTTTTTTTTTTTTAATTTCTGGTTCACCAAAAGGTGCCCTATGGCTAGCTATAGGCCCCTCCTTCCGCCTCCTCTCTTCTAGCCCTCACCTCTACACCTTACCTGAGCAGGAGTCCAGCAATGTCTGCACTTATGGGCTGGGCAGGTATGCTGGGGAGGCCCGAAGATGCCACTGGAGGGAACTGAGTTTGGTTGAAGGATGGGAAGCCAGGTGTGTAGGGGTCCCCAGTTCCCAGGTGTACCTGTAAGGAAAGGGGTGCCCATCCTGAAATGGAGTTGGGTTCGCTTCACTCCAAAAATAAGTGGCTTGGATCCCAGAAACATTCCACTCACATGTCCGTATACAGCCCGGTGTCTGGACAGGTCTGGCTTGTGCGGGCCCTGAGAGAAGTCTGCTGGGTCAGGGTATATGAGCACTCCTCGGGCCCCCGAGTCCTGGGCACTGGCCACCTGTGAGAGGGCAGGACACAAGAAAAAGGCTGCTGGGAACTGGTAGCTCATGCCTATAAATCTAGCTATTCAGGAGGCTGAGATCTGAGGATCCCATTTTGAAGCCAGCTCCTGCAGCAAAGTCTAGGAGACTTTTATTTCCAACTAACCAGCAAAATGCCAGAAGTGGAACTGTAGCAAAAGCAGTAGAGGATAAATCTTGAAGGGAAAAAAACCTAAGGGTCAGTTCCCAGGCCCTGAGTTCAAGGCCCAGTATGGGCATAAAATAAAATTTGAAATTAAAAAGAAAGAAAAGGGAGTGAACTACCTGCTTTGACCTCAGAGCCTCATGCTGGCTGAGGTAAGATGGAGCTCTATCATTAGAGCAACACCTCCAGCCTGGTGTTTTGCTGGTTATTTTTGGATTATGGTCTCTCAGACATTTCTGCCCATGCTGGCCTCTATCTGTGGTCCTCCAGACCTCAGCCTCCTGAATAGCTAGCATTGCAGATGTGAACCTAGGGTTCCTGGCTCCTCATTGTCTACCCATCATGGGCTGTTTTGTTTTTGTTTTTGCTGGTTAATTGGAGATAAAGAGTCTCACGGACTGCCCAGGCTGGCTTTGAAGTGTGATCCTCAGATCTCAGCCTCCTGAGTAGCTAGGATGACAGGCATTTCTTCATCCTAACTTTGCCCACATTTTCTTAGACTCTTGCTCTTTCTTTTCTCCCTCGGGCAGCCTTCTAGCAGTTTCCACCATCTGGACCCTGGGGTATCCCATTCCTATGTTGGGGACCCTCACCTTCTGGGCAAAGCTGGTGACCCCGGCGCGCACCAGCAGGAGGTGTCCAGCCGGCTCCACACCCCTGGCCCGCAGGTCCCGCAGGTCCTCGGGCCGCCCGTAGTGAGCGTAGACCAGCGACCCCTGGGAAATGGGGTGAGCGTGGGGGACAGTGAGGCCAGGCTGGGGGGCTCCCGTTCTGGGAGTGGGGGGACAAGGGGTGCTCACCGTGACGTTGCCTGTGGCGCTGTAGGGGCAGTAGACGTCGGGGTCCTCCAGGCGCAGCTCCTCCCCGATCTTCCCAGCCTCATCCACCCAGTGCAGAATGTTGGGGTGCTCCCTGGGGATCGGGAGTGGTGAAGACCGCCCTCCACCCCTCCTCCGCGCTCCCTCCACACACACCCCACCTCACACACACACCCTGCACTCACGGGTCTGGGAACTGGAGCCCCACGTAATGCGTGTCGGTCCACACGTGGTCCAGCCTGTGTCCGGACAGCGCGGTGAGGATGTCCTGGGCCAGCGCGGCCGTCCCCGCGGAGCCCGCCGTGCGCTCCCGGACGCTGGTCTGCCTGATGCGGGGAGAGGTGGGACCGGGGCCCAGGACGGGAGGGGATGGATGGAGACTTTAGGAAAAAGTTCTCCCGGTCCGCTTCCTTTCACATCACCACCAGGCTGGTGCCCAAAGGCTGGCCAGCGCCTCCTGTGACTTCACACCTTAGCTTTCTGCCTGCTGTGGGTGGCTCCCGTCTGTAGTCCCAGCTACTCAGGAGGCTGAGATCTGAGGATCACAGTTCAAAGCCAGGCCAGGCAGGAAAGTCCATAAGACTCCTATTTCTAATGAACCTTTAAAAAGTGGAGCTGTGGCTCAAATGGTAGTTTGTCAGCCTTGAGTGAAAAAGTTCAAGGACAGCACCCCCAAATTCAAACTGCAGGACCAGTGCATGCACCCATGTGCTCATGCATACCCTCCCCACACCCACACCCACACACCCAGCAAAAACCAGAGCTGGAGGCTCAAGCAACAGAGTATCACATTTCAAATCCCCGAACTAAAAGATTCCAGCTGGATACTGGTGGCTCACATCACAGCTACTCAGGAGGCTGAGATCTGAGGATTGTGGTTTGAAGGCAGTCCAGGCAGAAAAGTCTGTGAGACTATCTCCAATGAACCATTATAAAGGTCAGAATGGACTGTCTCAAGTGGTAGTGCTATTTTTTAAATTAAATTAAATTAAATTTTATTTTTGTCGGTCGTGGGGCATGAACTCTGGGCCTGGGCACTGTCCCTGAGCACTTCAGCTCAAGGCTAGCATTCTACCACTTGAGGCACAGGGCCACTTCCAGTTTTCTGGTGGTTTATTGGAGATAAGAGTCTCAAGGAGGGGCTGGGAAGGTGGCTCAGTGGTAGAGTGCTTGCCTTGCATGCATGAGGCCCTGGGTTCCATTCCTCAGCACCACATAAGCAAAAAAGAAAAAAGCCAGAAGTGGCGCTGTGGCTCAAGTGGTAGAGCACTAGCTGAAGAGCTGAGGGACAGCGCCCAGGCCCAGAGTTCAGGCCCCACGACCAGACCAAAAAAAAAGTCTCATGGACTTTTCTGCCTGGGCTGGCTTTGAATCATGATCCTCAGATCTCAGCTTCCTGAATAGCTAGGATTACAGGATGAGCCACCAGTGCCCAGCTTAGAGTGCTATTCTTGAAAAAGTGAAAAACAACAGGTACAGCACCTAGCCCCTGAGTTCAAATCCTAAGACTGGCACACACAAGAAAAGATTACTGTGAAAGTCAGGGAACAGACAAATATGCCCATCTTCTCTGGCACTTAAATTAATATCCTTTCTAATCAGTCTCCCCCTCCCCCCAGTTTGGGGCTTGAACTCAGGGCCTAGGCGCTGTCCCTGAGCTTCTTTTGCTCAAGGCTGGTGCTCCACTGCTTGAGCCACAGCACCACTTCTGGCTTTTTCTGTGTATGTGATGCTGAGGAATCAAACCCAGGGCTTCATGCATGTTAGGCAAGCTCTCTACCATTAGGCCACCTTCCCTGCTCCTCTAATGCAATCTTTTAAGAATTTTTTTTTAAAGCTAGACACTGGTGGATCATATCTGTAATTGTAGCTACTCAGGAGGCTGAGACCTGGAGGATCAAAGTTTGAAGCTAAGCTGGGCTGAAAGACACCATCTCTAATTGACCAGCAAAATGCTGGACTGGAGGCATGGTTCAGATGATAGAGCACCCAGCAGTAAGTAAGCTAGCAAAAACCAAGCAAGAGCATGAGGCATTGACTTCGATCCCTGGTACCAGCACTAGCTACTCAGAAAACCCAGGAGGACCCACTGTAAGACATTCCTGCCTCAGATGCAGGCAGGAAGCGGCCTGACTTTCTCTCTGAACCTCTCTTGGCAGCTCCTTTCCAGTAGAGCACAGTGACTGTGGCAGAATGACTCAGGCAGTCTGGCCATCTCTGCCGTGCTGCAGGCCTGCTGGCTGCCATGTACCCACAATGGAGATGGGGTTCCGTGCCCACAAATGCATTTGCTTGCTTCTTTCTCTGCTTCTCAGAACTCTCTGCTGCTGTGGGTCTTTAGCCAGGCTCCTGGGTACAGCATTCTTCATGTTGAATGCTAGATTGGTGTGTGTGTGGTATGTGTGTGTGTGTGTGTGTGTGTGTGTGTGTGTGCAGTACTTATGATTGAACCCAGGGACTTGTGCCTGCTAGGCAAGCACTCTACTGCTTGAGCTATGTCCTTAGTCCTTTTTTATTTGCTTGCTTTTGAGACATCGTCTCTCTTCACTTTGCCTGGGCTGGCCTTGAACTCTTGATCCTCCTGCCTCCATATCTGAAGTAGCTGGGATTCTAGGCATGCATTTCCATGCCTGCATGTACCCCATGGTTCCCATTCAGCCAGCTCTTCTGTGTCTCAAATATGCCGCTCTTAGAACCGCAGCCCCTGGAGTCTCAGCTCTGTCATTTTTCCCGGAAGTGTTGAACAAGAAAGTCCAGTGAGCCAGGTAGAAGGGGAGAGGGAAGGCAGGGAGGGGACCCTGGGTGAGCGGGAAGGGAGGCCAGTCTGAGTGGACAAAGAGAGGACACTGCAGGGCCAGGAAGGGCCAGGCTGCCCTTACCTGATGGTGTCCCCCAGGTGCCCCTTCCTGAGGAGCCTCAGGAACATGGCCTGGAGGTCGCTCCAGTACAACGTGCCCTGGTGAGAATCTGGGCCCATCTCATAGGTGCCATCCTCGCTCACCACCAACACGGAATCCCCGCACGCCTGGCAGGACCCTCGGAAGGCCACGTAGCCCAGGAGGAAAGCTGGCAGATGGCAAGATGAGGACTCTGGGTGTGTTCCCTCTGAACCCCTGCAATGTCCCCAGCCCAGCCCTTAGCTAGGGGAGGGGTGGGAGGGGCTGGTCCTCACCCCCAGTGAAGATCAGCAGAGCCATCAGGACCAGGTAGGGAGCCGCTCTTCTTCCTGCTTCTGCCCAGGGTATGAGGACTGGTAGCCCAGGTCTAGAGCCCAGAGACTCGGGGCCCCTCAGCTCCATAGGGCAGAAGTGGATGGGCAGCTGGGTCCCCTCCTCCCTGTCTTCCTCTTCCTCCTCCAGGCGCCCCTGGGAGGGGCCCTCCACACGCTTGTAGATGGTTTGAGAGGGTTGTGGGGACCACTGCTGCTGGAGGGGAGCAGGGTAGACATGAGACTGGAAAAGGGGGTGGAGAAAGATCTGGAAATAATGATCTTTGGGGTGCTGAGTGACTATCAGGTAGGGAGAGGGGTCTGAGAGGGAAGCTGTTTGGGGAGTGACTTGAGAAGAAAGGGGGTGAAGGAGAGGCCAGAGACAGGGACAGAGACAGGACACTGGCCAGGAGGAGATAGCTATACGGGTTTGGGAGGGGGCTGAGGATCTGAGGGAGGGCCTAGGGTGTCCCCCAACCACACTGGTCTTACCGCTCTCTGGAGAAGACCCCGAAGCCGCTCCATGCTCAAGCCCCCTCCTGAACACTGTGGGTTACCTGCTCCCCCACAGTGATAAACCGTTTGTGGGAGCCCCAGAGGGCCTCTTATCAGCCCTGGCAGGCCTCTGCTCACCCCCCCCTCACACACACACACACACACACACACACACACACAGGGGAGGAGGTACAGTGTTGGTCTCAGCCAGCCCCTCTAAGCAGGCCAGAGAACTAGGGACTGTACCATCTCCCTGTCAATCCCCTCCCTGGTCCCACTCTTTCCCCTTCTCTGCAAAACAATCAAACCTTGGGGTAGACTTTGGCCTCTTGGTTCCTGGCAAGGATGGGGGAGGGGTGCTGAAAGTGAGGGGGAAGGGGGACTTCTGGGTATCTCCCTTTCCTTTCCTATTTCCACCTTTCCTGGAATCCCCCCTTTCTAAGTTCATTGTGGAAGGTTTATGATGCAAATATCTGGCCCCCTCACTGGATCTGGCTTAAGGTCCCCCCAAACCGAACTCCCCAACACAGTTGCTCTCCCTGCCCTGACATGGCCCCCAATCCCAAGATGGAGACAGTTGGGTAGTGTGGGGGTTAACAGGGGCTCGGTCTGGCCCAACAGATCTGTCTCTTTGGCATCAGACCCTCTGGGTACTGGGGAGGGAAGACTACAAGGTGAAATAATTGGTCAAGAAGGTACCAGTGAGTGTCTAGGATCAGGGGTTCTGGGGTCTACCAGGTAGTGTGGGAGTTAGAAAGCATCCTGGCCAAGTGTTGGGCAGGACTGTGATTCCCGGAACACAGTTGCCAGAGGACTTGGATCAGGTGGGTTTTGAACTTTTGGGGGCCTAGAGCGAGTCCTGAGGATAGGTCAGATAACTTCCTCCTGGAAACACATCCCAGTCCCCAAACACAAAGCTTTTCCTTCTGATATCACAGGGCGCAGAGCACCCCCACACGATGAGCTCTGCATAGAAAGGCTCAGGGTCCAGGCAGCCCCCTACTCCCACTCTACAGAGGTCTCTGGGAAGTTTATACCCAGGTCCAGAGAAAAGGGCTCAACTGTACCCCAGTCTCCACCCCATGCCTGTGAAAGTCAAGAGCCCCACGAAGCAACAACAGCGCAGGCCCGGCTCACCTGGGCTGCAGGTCCTGGGTGCAAGAGCACAGCTTCTCAGAGACCCAAGGCCAGCGCACAGGCCCCACCCACCAATCACCGCCCCCGCCCCCAGATCTGACCCGCCCTCCGGCCCCGCTCACCAATCGCGCTCCCAGGATCCGACCCGCCCTCTGGCCCTGCCCACTACAGACCCCGCCCCTAGCTTCCTCCCGGGGCCGCGGGGTTCATCTTCGAGTCCTCCAGTTCTGGTCCTCTCGGAGTCCCGGGCGGCTGGAACGTGAGGAACCCGTGTCTCCTTGACTGCAACCACGCCTCACCCCCCCAAGGAGGTCAAACTTTTCTTAAAACTTTTTTTTACTTCTTTTAACTCAGAAACATCACAATCTAAGAGGAGCAGAGAAGAAGAGGGGGCCGGGAGGGGGTGGAGGGCTTCGATCTGCGATCGCGGGGGGCTGGGGGGGCTGGGTGGTCCCGTGTGGCCTCCTTCCTGCCCCCGCTGGCGGCGGTGGGGCGAGGTGGGCAAAGGGAGTGCCCTCAGGGGCACTTCCGCTCCACGCACTGCTTCCCGCCCTCCTCGTACTCCTGCTTGGAGATCCACATCTGCTGGAAAGTGCCCTGGGCGGAGGGGGAGATGGTGGGGGGGCTGGGCAGGGGGTGGTCAGCCTCCCTACCCCCCTCCTGGCCCAGCTCCCTCCAGAGAGGCCCGCCCCTCCTCCCTTGTCTGCCCCTTTGCTCCCTATTCAGAGGGTGAACGACTTCTGTCTGTCTGTCAGTCAGAGTCACTCAGTGAACCAGCAACTGTTCCTTTGGGTCAGGAGCTGTGGGCACCAGTCTGTGGCCCTGACACACACCTCACCCCGCCCCTCCTCGAGCCCCCTCATGCTGAAACCTTCAGGTGGGAGGAGGTGGCCGGCTCTTGCCTTGGGCATAAGTGTACTGGGACTTGGACTCAGGGTCTCATCCTGTCTTTTGGCTTTTTTCACTCAAGGCTGGTTGCTCTACCACTTGAACCACAGCTCCATTTCAGAATTTTGGTGAGGGGGCTGGGAATGTGGCTCAGTGGTAGAGTGCTTGCCTAGCATGCATGAAGCCCTCGGTTTGATTCCTCAGTACCACATACACAGAAAAAGCCAGAAGAGGCACTGAGGCTCAACTGGTAGATTGCTAGCCTTGAGCAAAAGAAGCTCAGGAACAGTGCCCAAGCCCTGAATTCAAGCCCAGGAATGACCAACAAACAAAAAACAAAAATTTTGGTGGTTAATTGGAGATAAAAGTCTCACAGATTTGTCAACCCAGATCCAATAAAAAAGTGTGTGTGTGTGTGTGTGTGTGTTTGCAATGCTGGGATTTGAACTCAGGGCCTCAGGTTGGTAGTTTACCACGAACTATGCCTTCAGCCTTGCTTTTTTCGCTAGCTATTTTTGGAGATATAGTCTCAAAAACCTTTTTTTCTGCCTAGGATGGAATCAAACCAAAATCCTACTACTGTCAGCCTCTGATGTAGTTAAGACTGCAAGCAAGAGCCACCAGACCCTGGCAGTTGTGTTGTTTTTGTTTTGTTTTAGTAAGTTCTTCCTTCCTTCCTTCCTTCCTCCCTTCCTTTCTTTCTTTCTTTCTTTTTGGTGGGACATGGGGCTTGGATTCAGGGTCTGGGTGCTGTCCCTGAGCTCAAGACTAGTGCCCTACCACTTTAAGGCACAGCACCATTTTCTGTTTTTGGAGATCAGAGTCTCACAATGACTTTTTAGCCTGGGCTGGCTTCAAACTGTGATCCCTAGGTCTCAGCCTCCTGAGTATCTAGGATTACAGGTGTGAGCCACTGGTCCCTGGCCCAAACTCTTGCTAATAATCCCAGCTGGCCTTGAACTAAGGCTCAGCTCTTAAGTGCTGGGATTGCAGGCACATGCTACCATGCTTGGCTTATTTAACTAAACAGTTTATATCAATCACACATTGAAATGGTAATAAATGGTTTGGTCTATATTAGATTAAATAAACTATATTTTTGAAATTTTTGATACACTTCCAGGCAGGAAGATAACAAATTGCAAGCCAGCCTGGTCTATGAACTAAATCTCAAAAACAACAAACAAAACTCCCAAGACAGAAGTGGCATTGTAGCTTAAAATGGTAGAGCACTAGCCTTGAGCACAAAAGCTCAGGGACAGTGCCAGGCCCTAGGTTCAAGCCCCACAACTGAGGGGAAGGGGGAGGGAGACACTGATGGCTCACACCTGTCATCCTAGCTACTCAGGAGGCTGAGATCTGAGGATTGTGGCTCAAAGCCAGCTAGGCAGAAAAGTCTATGAGATTCTAATATCCAATTAACAACCAGAAAAACCAGAAGTGGGGGTGTGGCTCAAAGTGGTAGAGCACTAGCCTTAAGCAAAAGAGGTCAGGGACAGCATCCAGGCCCGGGAGTTCAAGCCTCATGACTAAAAACAAAACAAAACAAAACAAAAATCCTCCCAAGACAAAACAGTTGGAGGTGTGGCTCAAACGGTAGAGCAGCTGCCTAGGAAGCGCAAGGTGTTGAGTTCAAACCCCAGTACTTCCAACAGCCTTCCAACTAGTGCAGCCTTGCACTAGTTCCTCCTTAATCTTATCCTTGACCCTGGCTCTCTCTTACCTCTTTGTATAAGCAGTGTCCATGTTCTGTCCATGAGCCTTACTGACAACCTCCGCCACCCAGTCAGAGGCCACAGCACCCCTGTCCCTTCTATTTGGCCCCCTCAATCCACGCACAACTGCAGCCTCCATGAGCCTCCTGCATCCTAGAATTCACAATTCACTGTACCTCTTCGGGTCCCGCCTACCTATCCTTACACTCACCTTCTTTTCTTTTTTTTGGGGGGTCCGGTGGTGGGGCCTGAACTCTGGGCCTGGACGCTGTACCTCAGCTCTTCAGCTCAAGGCTAGTGCTCTACCACTTGAGCCACAGTGCCACTTCTTGCCTTTTTTTGCTTATGTGGTACTCAGGAATTGAACCCAGGCCTTCATGTATGCTAGGCAAGCACTCTACCACTAAGCCACATTCCTACCTCCTCCTTTAGTTTTTTGGCTTAAGGCCGGGCGCTCTACCACTTGAGCTACAGCTGTACTTCCTTCCAGCTTTTTGGTAGCCAATTGGAGATAAGAAGCTCATGGACTTTCCTGCCTGTGCTGGCTTCAAACCTAGATCCACAGATCTGAGCTTCCAGAGTCCCTAGGATAACAAGCATGAACTCCCAGTGGCCAGCTTGCTTCCTGAATTCTTATTCTTCTCAGCCTGTGCTCCTGCCAAGCTGGAGTGAATGATTTCTGCACTCTTCTTGGTGACTTCCTGTTTAATTGTTCCCTGGCCAATCACATGACTGCTTTGTTCCTGACCTCCAGGGTATCCCCTCTGCTCACTGAAGATTGTGGATGCCTTTCCACAACCTCAGCCAGACCCATCTCTCCAGCTTCCTATTCTAAGCTTGGTGTCCTGATAGAAAACTTCCTAATTGTCCTTTCTCAAAAATGTTGGATGAACAAATGGATAGACGGATGGATGGACTGATGGATAGACAAATAGACAGATGAATGGATGGATGGCTGGCTGGATGAGGAATCAGGCAAGGTGCAGAGCTCTCTGGTTCTCCCCGTTCCTCATGATCAGAGGCCCTGTCCTTTTCTTCTTACCAGTGAGGCCAAGATGGAGCCCCCAATCCAGGGACTGAACTTGCGCTCCATGGTGCTGTTGCTGGCGATGAGCTTCAGTCTCATGCTCTGGAGGAAGAAAGAGACTGAGAGTGGAAGGCATTGAGGCTCTGGGAGGCGGGGACTCAGGAGGTAGGGGAAAGGCACAGTGTAGGAGACTGGGTAATTCTATTTGGGGAAGGCAAAAGAACTTTATATTATTATTATTAATTATTTTCCTGGCAGTACTGAGGATTGGACTCAGA